TAGATGACCACTTGTTTACCTTCAAGCCTTTAAAACCCCAGAAGCTATATCTTTTGATAGCCGGGCACCATCAACTTTCTTCACCATATTTGCTTATGCACCCATTTGTCTTCAGGGATCGTATTGGAAAGGTGAGCATCATGGGATGCCAGTTTAATAGAACAAAGTATTCTTGCATTGAGGGAGTACTTGAGTGGAGGCCCAGTCTTCATCTGCTACCTTAGTACTAAAACTATGAATATATGCACATAAATCTATTTCTCCATCATATATAAATATATTTACTTATGTACATGCCTGTGTTTAAACCTCTATAAATGCCCTTTGCCTCCTAGTTCTTTCCTCTATTTCCTTTGACTTTCCTCATCCCACTATCATGCTCAGCCTTCATTTGGGTTTCAGGAATTCCTCTCGGTTACATTGCCCTAGCACTGGGTTTTTATCTCAGTTTGAAAATTGTGGTTCCCACAAAATGTGGTGCAATTAAAATACATAAACATTCCATACTGATTAGCATGTTACATTCCAATCTTATTAGTGAAATTATAAGTCAATGATAGTCAACAGTTGTAGGCTTAAAGGTATGAATTTAGATTACTGTTTTATTTGGTTTGTTTTGCTTTTTATTGTTTAGCAAAGCATGTGGACTTAAAAGATTATTTTTACAAATGCTCTAGCAATTCATCTTTTCATTACTAATTAGAGAATACAGTATCTCCCTAATATGAAAATAATTAATTTTAAATTATTTTGCAATTTTCTATGTTCCCTAACCTGTTTCCCTATTATATTTTAATACAAATGCCAGGTAATACTATGATTTCACCCAAACCATAGTGGTCATATGTTTCACAGCTAACTGAAAGGTCAGTAGTTCTAAGCCACCAGCTGCTCTGAGGAAGAGGCTTTCTACTCCAGTAGAGTGCCAGTCTCAGAAACACAGGGACAGCTCGACCTTGTCTGTTAGGGTTGCTGTGAGTCAGCATTGACTAGATGGCAGTGAGTTTTCTGTATGTACCTCTCAGCAGGTAAGGTTTGTTTTATATAGTAATCCTATTAACAAAATCCTAATCATTTTACAGTTCATATTTAAACTTCCTGATTGTCACAAAAACGTTTATAGTTGCTTTGCCACCTTTAAAAAGAAAATTTTATGCTATTTCTTTGCTGGTGATGAAAAAATCATGTCTCAATTCCCCATGTTCAAGATTTCTTCATAGTGAACCCCCCCAGTCTTCTAGTCACCAATTCTTGCGGTAGCTAATGATTTGTTTAGTTTTTAGATCCTATGGTGGTGAATACTATGTTGCAATGCAGTGGACTATCCAGGTACCAGTCATCAATGGCTCCTAAAGTCACTGGGCACAAAAAGCAATAGGGGATTTGATAATAGAATGATCAGATTGATGCCCTAATTTGGTGATCACTTGAACCTCTGGTCCACAACTAGATTGCTTCTTCAGTGATCACAATGGGAAGTACACAGCACCTGTATGATATAAATGATCCCCCCCTCCCCAATTTAAGCTAATTGGACTTGAATGTAAACATTCTAGGTTGAAACGAAAAAGACCTTCCTATCTAACCAATAGGCTAATCCCTTGAGATAAAAGTTCAATGTATTGAAAGTGGTTCTAATTCTAGTGCTAGTTTCCTGTGATTTGTGGAGTAAATTGCTAAATTTGGTTTGTCTATTGTGTGACAGTTAATACTGGTGTTATAAAGTAAAAGCATGTGGTTGATTACTTGTTCTGTAGTAGTTCCACTAATAGTTACTTCTGTCTCCTGTAAATTCTTTCACTCAAATCACTATATATTTTTTCTTTTCCCAATAATGTTAATCATTCTTCTTTACTGTGTCAAGAATTGCCAAGCTATCAAGAATTCTATTTCTGATGCCCTAACACTGAAGCTATGAAACTAGAAAGGAAAGAAGTATTTTCTGAAAATTTTTATTTAATTTTTACCATTCAAAAATTTTTTTCTATTTGGATACACTTTCTTACATTTGCTCCTGGTTTTAGTTTGGGTTTAAGTGTTGTGATTTGGAAGAGACAAACATAAATTTAATT